ATATAAAATCAAAATTAATTTTATTAACATGACTTGAATGTTAAAAATATATTTAGTTTATTTATTTTTTAACTTTTCTAAAATGTGAGTTACTCTATGCCCACAAGGTAAAAGTGTTGAATTGTGAAAAGAGTATGACTTAAAAGATTTTCTTACACCAAAAAGATAAATTACACCAAATGGACCAAACTCACCATATAAAAAAAATGGTCTCTTCATAATAGGTTTTATTAAAATTGAACTCTCTAAATTTTTTAGTTTTTTTTTATATTTAATTTAAATTTGTTAATAAATTTATTAATTTTAAATTAATGATGTTAACTTTTAAATATTTTAGGATATCTACAAGCATGTTGAAATAGGACACTATTTAAGAGTAGCATGTCATTACGTTAATTTAGAAATAATCAAATAACTATTAACATTAAATTAATAGATTTATTAAATATTGTATATTAAAAACTAAAAAAAATATTAATTAATATAAATTAATTTTAAAGGTATACAAAATCTATTTAACTTGATAAATTAACAAGTTATTTTTATACATATGAATCCAAACCCGAGACAAAATAGAAGTATAAAAGATGTATATTGTAATGACCCTAGAAATCGTCGTTAAAAATGATACCTTCGCAAAATAGTAAATAAGTAAATAACAACATTTATATTACATTATATTATTATAATTGTAATATAGATTGAAATTTCAGTTCATTGATGGAACCTCAAAACATAGTAACATAATTTATTTATATAGATACATGCAAAAGTAGCTCCCACAAAGATATCCCACTGAATTATCCCTGTTGTCCAGTAGTCGCATCTCCACCTCTCAACTCCTGATCTGCTCCCACATAAAAGTGATCATCGCAGTCCCATTCACATGGAAAAATAGGAGTAAGTATTAAATAATTCGATGTAATAAAATAGATATAGAAGTAATAATTACATATTATCATCAATTACAAATAATCAATACACTAAAAAGTCTTCTTGAAGTTTACCCTAACTATGCTTGAACTTAGAGGCTATCATCTGTGGACACATTGTGATCGACACTCGCATTACCATTCTGACCACCCTCTACACAGAGTGAGATTATTGGTGCCCTTCATCACTCAATCTGGAGTACCCCTCCGAGCGCACCACCAGTCATCCCCCATCGACTTCTCACCACCTGATCTCATAGTCTACCTGACTCAACCAATCAGTGAAGTTTGAGACCTCATTTGAAACCTCCGACTTAATTAATACACTAATATACTTTGTACCACCCCGGGTATCATTCAAACACAATAACAATTATTCACATCTGTCGGATTTTGGACCACTTGTCCTCATGGCTTATTCGGGTCAATAAATAATAGTACTTGACTGATTCTGGGTACCAACCTTCCAGCTTAGTCTAGCCAATACATAATATCTCATGACTGATTCTGGGCATCAGCCCTCGGCCTCAATTTGACCCACACACATCACAACAAAATGTTTATTCTTTAAAATTTCTAATTTCATTCTATATTTTAATTATTTTCCCTAACATACCTTTACTTTATTTCTAAAATTTTAATTATACCTTTAAACATTTTCTATTATTCCTTTTTCATCCTGAAATCATTAAATTATTATTTTGTCCTTAATCTTTTTTTAAAATTCCATGTATGTCCCTAAATTACTATTTTACCCTGGATATTTTCAAAAATTCCTTCCATATCCTGAAACTAACTATTTTACCCTTTGACATTTTCAAAAATTCCTTCCATGTCCATAAAATGACTGTTTTACCTTAAACATTTTCAAAAATTTCATTTATGTCCTTAGGATGTAAAATGACTATTTTACCCTTGATATTTTTCAAAAATCCCCCTTATTCCTTTCTTTAACCTCGCATCCATTAATTGTATCAAATTTTGCAGATTTCTAATTTCTCAGTATCAGACAACCAAACTGGTTTCAAATTCAAATTAAATACGAATTATGTTCAATTTAAGTAAAAAACAACAATTTTACCATATAATTCATCCTTAATTTCAAGAATTTCAATAAAATTTCAAACTTTTCAAACATGAAGAAATATTTAAAATCAGTCGTTCAATACTTCAATTTTTCACTCTTATTCCTTATTCTCAGAGTACCCAGCAATTTAATCTCATATATTGAATGAATTAATTTTTTCCCTTACTTTGTGTTGTATTTCTACCGAAGCTTTCCCATTTAATTCAAACTCTATCCCGTTTCACCAGATCCTGCACGAGTAGAGTATCATTTGCTTGAAATTTAGACAAAAGAAGAATAAAGACGAATAACGCGTGATATGGAAGGAAGAATTTCTTGCTGTAACCATTCCTCCTCATTCGTACATATATAGAAAATTGGCGTGTAGATGAAACTTCACTACTAAAGTTTTTTTTTTCACAATAATATTATTATAATATATAAAAATAAAAAAAATACTTCACATATATAATATTTTATAAATTAAAAACAGAAACTAGGAATAAAGTATAAATTTTGTTTAACATTCAAATTTTTACTCAAAGTAACTCTTTTATTTATTATTACTTCTAAAAGTAACTTAATTTAATTTATCATATATAAAAAATTATAAAATTTGATTAACATATTACTTGAAAGACACCTAATTTTTAAATTGTTTTCATAAGGTCGATTCTATCAAATTATGTAACATCTTAGCTAATTAAATATATTTTAAATTATTTTCTCAAAATGAATAGATGAAAAATGGTGGCTTTCAAATTGTGCACTCTTTCTCTAATATATCTATCTTATATGAAAAACTATACTAATAAGTTATTCAGATTGTGAAATTAAATATTTAAAATTACAAAATTATATTATTATTAAAAATTAAAACATTTGATATGTAATCATTTCAATGATATATCTAATTATATATTCAATTTTTTTATCTTTATTGTTTAAGTTCAATAATCAAATGTAAATTATTTATAAGAATCATTAGATTAGAAAAAAAAAGGTTTTTTAATGGTTTTTTTATTTTACAATTTCAGATATTAAATATAAATATGTTTCTCCCCCAAGGGAATATGTTTTTTTTTTCGAACCAGTTTCTGCTTTAGGAGATTTATTATTATTATTATTATTATTATTATTATTATTATTATTATTATTATTCGTATCTTCTAGAAGATAAGTTAAGTTTTCAAGATTTTTCAATAAACGATTTTTCAAAATTCATTTAACTATCGTTATATTTTTAAGATGAAATGTGAATAGCTTTCAAATAAAAAGATAACTTGAACACGCAATTGATTCTGGAGAAAAATAAGCGTGTTTTTATTTTAAATAGTTTAATTATACTTTTAAAAACATAATAAACTATTTTGGCCCTGTCCAAACTGGATGAGATAGATTAAACTATTTTCTCAAAAATATTTACATATTAATAAATAAATAAATTATAATCTTAAATTTTCATTTCTTTAATGAAATATTTAAATATATTATAATATTATAATTTAAATAATAAATATTAGTAATTTAATTTAAACGCTATTAAAATTTGACATTGTTAGAGTTAATCATTGATTTCAACCAGTATGAAAGATAAATTATTGAAGTTTCTTATTTGTAGGAACTTAATGTTAAAGATTTTAATATCCTAATATTAAAGGGAAAATGTTTGACTATAAGAAATAAATGATGATTGTTCTCTTTGAATCATATATATATATATATATATATATATATATATATATATATATATATATATATATATATTTTTTTTTTTTTTTGGTTATATATATGGTGTATGAAACATAACACAGAAGGCAATGAATAGATGAGTATAAAGATAGGTACTTAACTCAGTGTATTCTCTTTAAAGAACAATACAAGATGATGGATGTTTTTAAAATCTAAAAGAAATATGAGCATTATGTTGATGATATAAGAATAATATTAATTTAGATAAAATATAATCATTTTTCTTAATTATAAATAATATGAGTGTTTAATATAATATTTTACTAAAGTAAAATATAACAAACTTATTTTATTAACTAGACAATATAAAATTATAAAAAATATATTTAATAAGGTATAGATTATATTAAATGTTGTTTAGAAATATAATATAATTGTTATAATAATATTATCAAAATTTTAAGAATTTTGATAAATAAATGTGTTAGGATATTAAAAACATTTAGATAAGATAATATTAGTAAAAATACCAATCACATAACTTGGATAGTGCTACCTCTACTCTAATAAATCAAATATATTTTTAATATATCAATAATAAAAATCATGAAAATATAAAATAATTTCACAAAACCTATACAACAGTAAAAGAATAATAATGAAACAAATATAATCAAAACAACATATTTTATCATGGTATAAAATCTTATAGAATTAATTATTAATTTATGAATTTTTTATTACCACATTGTATTATTACAAGTAGTATTTATTAACTTCATTTATTGATATTGATCTTCATGAAAAACTATTGACCACCTTTAACAACAATATAGGATTTAATATATATATATATATATATATATATATATATATATATAATTTTTTTAATTTTTTATAAAATTATAATAAACTTTGATAATAAGAATAAAATTATAAGTATTTTTACATCGACGAAATTATATCCATTAAACTCTATTTTTTTTAGGACAGGAATATTAAACTATAGATTAATTCAATCTACATCCTCAAATGATTTTATAAAAAAACTATTTTATTGAAAAATACTGCCCAAAATTATCATTTTCTTTTCCTCCCTCCAAACACATTCATAAATTTCTTTTATTCTAACCACCCTATCATTCTTGTTCAAAGACGTTTCTCTCTCATTTCTTGCGGTCTTACTCTTTCCCATTCGTATTTGATTCTACAAGTGAAGAAACAAATAGACCATATTAAACGCCGGATCTGAATTTCTGTTGTGGATACTCTCTTTCTCTATTTCCGATTTGTGATTTGGATCTGAGAAAATGGATCGAGATAATGGCGACGGTGACATTGAAGGCGGCGATGACGGTTTTCGCTCGCCGATTGGCCGCCAGTATCGCCCTGTGTTGGCCAACGATCGAGCGGTGCTCGAAATGTCTTCCATGGATCCTGGATCTACTTCTTCTTCTTCCACTGCTGCATTTGCAGATCATCCTCCTAATCTCAGGTATTCGCACTATTCCATCTCCACCAATTTCTTGTCTCCCGATTCGGCGGCTTTTATTTCGTTTCGTAACCAGAAACTTGTCCCTTACCGGAAGAATGCGGCGATGATTTGACCGGCTATTTCTTGCCATTGAGACAAGTGGATTTTTGTATGTGAGATTGCGATTAGGTGTTGTTGTGAAGGAATCTAAGTTAGTCACGTGTGTTGAGTTGATTTTGTGTGTGAGTGCGATTGTGTGTTGTGAAGGAAATAAAGCTAGTCCAGTGCGATTGGTTTATTCTGAGTTTTTGTTTTTTACTTGTGGTTATGTTGTCAGAAAAGTAAAAACTAGTGTTTCGGATGCTAAAGAAGGGAACGCTTCTCATCAACAGCAGCCTAATGGATCCCAGCAGCAGGAATCTAAACTGGAACTATTCGGGTTTGATTCTCTTGTCAACATTCTTGGTCTCAAAAGGTATGTAAGACTTCCTTGCTGCTTCCTTACACCTTTTCAGCTGTTAGATTTTTTTTTTTAAATGTTTACATGGTCTGTTATTCGGGTTATACTTAAAATTCAAACTCTTTAGACGGTTGAATTTGAGCGTAGATAGGATAAGCTGTGAAGACAGCGCTTTTGGGATTTTTTTGTCAAAAGCATTAGCTACTGTTTAACTGCGAGAAAAATACTGCAGTGACTATGTTTGAGTTTTTGCTTATATATATTTTTAATTATCTAGTTATTCTGAAGGGATTTTGTATTGAGCTAGAAAAGCAACCATTCCTTAAATGTGGATCAAACAAATGGGCTCTAATTTGTTTCTTACACTGGAGGGGTGCCTCCTATCAATGTGATTGTTAAATTTGATTTTAGTTTGTTTCCTGGTTTTCTGGTTGTAAACAATTTTTGTTGACTTTATCCTGTTCTTCTCCAGTATGACTGGTGAGCAGATTGGACAACCATCCAGTCCTAGAGATGGTGAGGATATATCCATCACTGCTGGCTTGCCAAAGGTATGCTAATTTCTCGAGTATAATTTTACTTCCTTTCATTTGTATCTTTTCTACTTTCTTAGCAGCAATGACATTGACATGTTATTGATGAATATGTCATGTGAGTTTTGGTCTGAATTTACCAAAATAAGTGATTGGAAGGAGAAAAGTGGCTGATATGGAATGTTTTCTGTTAGACATGAGATTTTTAGCTGTATATAATGTCAGTATAAAATAAAAATTGTGTAATTACCCTTTTTTGTCTTGAAATAACATGTTTATTGAATTCTGCAGCCTGCTGCTCCCAAACTTGGTACAATGATGGGTGTGTTTATTCCATGTATACAAAGCATTTTGGGCATCATCTACTACATTCGTTTCTCTTGGTAACTTGTAAATTGCTTTAAATCTTACCTCTCATATATGGTCATGTTTAAGGCTTTATGGAATTAAATATCTGATTATTGGAGAATGATTATTGAAATTAATTTTTTTTCTCAAGCAATCAGATGCTATAATTTGGTATTCAAATACAATTTAACAATTCAGATTCAAGTTCAAAAGGACGGAATCCACAATTTCCTTATTTTTCACATGTTTTGGGTGAATGATTGTTCATTTGACAATTCTGAGTTCACTTGTGACAATAGTTTGAAGTTGAAATCTGATCCACTTGTGATCAAAATAATACAAATGTCAGTTTTCCAAACCCAAAGTTAGCTATTTTACTTATTTTTGAAACATTTCCATGAATACGATTTCAATATATTTGTTTGTTTTCTTTTTTCTGAAGTAAAGGTTATTTGTTAAGATTGAATAACTAATTTATTTAAGTTTTATAGTAAAACTGACACTATTAAACAGGAAATTGAGACCATCAGAATTTTTACCTATTTGTATCATAATCTTAAGATTTACGTGTCCTTTCTTACAATTCAATACATTTTGGTTATCTACCAATTCATATCTCAAGATGAATCTTAAAGGACTTTGTATCTTACTATACATGAATGAATCTATGTAATTTTTGTCACTGATACAATTCATAGATTCACATGCTCTTCACTTTTTCACCAATCCTTATTAAAAAAAGAAGAAGTTATGTGACCTTAAATTTTTAAATGAAAAGGAATTTGAAAAAAAAAATTTATGAACTTATCCTATTTGATTATTCTACCTTTCTTTTATCATTCACACATTCAATGCATGCAATCTATTTAGCTATTTAATTGATTTGTTTTCGTTCTTCTAAAACAAAGACTTCACAAACCTATATATAACTAATTGTTTTGTTCTTTATGACTGTCTAAGTCGTTTTTATATATTTCTGGTTTATATTGTTTACATTGAACACTATATATCATCTATATATGATATGTTGTCTGAATAATATGATTTGATACAAAATTACAATTCACAATTGAAAAAATAACTCATCCATTTGATTACCTTTTTGTCCATTAGCTTCTTTGTGCAATCTAACAGCCTATTTGGTTTGAGAAAATATATTTTGTTTTCATTGATAGTTATAAAAAAACCATATTAAAGATTGTATGGAAAATGGTGAAAAGTGAACAAACATTATTCTGTTTTCACCATTTTTTGTACAAAATTATGAAAATCTGACAAGTGAAAAAAGGGGCTTATTTTGTAATTATTAGTGAGCTAGAAATTGGACAGAATGCTTTTTCAAACCAAATAGGCTCTAAGTTTGGGAGCACATATGATACGATTCTTATGTCAAATATGACAAGATGAATTGATAACACACACACACATCTATATATATATATATATATATATATATATATATATATTATATGTGTGTGTGTTATGCACAATTCAATATACCATATTCATTATTTGTCCCAATCAAAATGTATTGTATTCATGGCTTCATTAATTAAACCCTTCCTGTCATGTTCTTGATTGGATTAGTCCACTCATGTCATATTTCTTTCTTCACCTCTCAAATTGATTATGTTTTCAGCTTTGGGTTTCCCCTCCCTAGGCCACTGTTGCTTGTGGGTTCACTATATAAGATATTGGTTGAACCAATGAGGCTTAACAGTGTGCAATCTTTGTAATTTTTTGGGGCATTTAGTTGGACCACTTGCATGCATCTTTAAGTGGATTTTCTTAACCCTATGTTGACAATGTTATGATCTTTATTAGCTGTACTGAAGTTTGTGGTCCATAGTTGTATTAAGGGTGGTGGCATGTCTGACTTACAAAGGGGTTCGGATGATTCATACTCCCTCCCCCACCTCTTAACTCTTGTGGATACCTTATGGTCACCTTATTTTTTTTTTTTCAATAGGATTTTTTTGTGCAAAAAAAAGAAAAGAAAAGAGAAACACAGAATGAGGATTGTGTTAGTGTTAGTGATTTTAATAATGAAATTGTAACTTAATGATTAATTAATTTTTTGAAAAAATTTGCCTTGCATAATCTGATATAGAATATTGTCAACGTGCTTATGATAAATTGATCATTATTCATTATTTTCTTTTTGATACTGTTTTGTAATTATTGTAATATTTGTTTTTGATAATTTGCATTTGATTGAATTGGAATCTATGATGTTAAACTAGCTAAACATTGAATGTTTTCATAATTGTCATTATTGTAGGATTGTTGGCATGGCTGGCGTAGGAGAAACACTGTTGCTTGTTGCTTTATGTGGGACCTGTACATTCCTTACTTCAATATCATTGAGTGCTATTGCAACCAATGGTGCCATGAAGGTAAGCTCTGTATAAGTAAGTTGAATTACTCCTTATTTGCTATGACTGCAGTCTTTACAAATCTGATTGCTAAAATTAATTATACTTTATATAGCTTTCTTTTTTAACTTCTATTTTGGATTATTTCACAAATTTAAACTGCCCTTGTTAGTTAATTTGACAAAATAAGTTTGCTGTCATGTCTTGCTCAAGTTGAGGTAAATGGAGTTTTGACTAGGGAATGATTGAGTATTTAATATTTAATGACTGTTGGTTACATGGAAAGCCATTTTTTTTTTCCAAAAAATTAAGTAAATCCTAACTTGCATTAATAGTTGATATAGTTTATTATTTTCTTGTGTATGTTATATAGGGTGGGGGACCTTACTATCTAATTGGTCGTGCCCTTGGTCCTGAAGTTGGAGTAAGCATTGGTCTATGCTTCTTCCTTGGAAATGCTGTTGCTGGAGCACTGTAAGTGTATACTATGAATCTTTTTTAATTTTAATCTTTTATAATATAAGGAAATCAGGCTAGGATGATGATGAATCTAACCAAATTGTAGTCATGATAGCTCGATATGCATCATGAAATTAAATCTGAAGTTCTTTCTCTGTTGCCTATGGTTCTAGTTACGTATTGGGAGCTGTAGAAACATTTCTCAAAGCAGTTCCTGCTGCTGGGATTTTTAGAGGTAATGAGTCTAATTAGTTTTGAATGGATTGTTTCTATTCTATGCATGTTATTTGTTTTTTAATGCAAAGATGTTATTTATTAGTTGTTGAAGGTTGGTGTTTTGGGTTTTATTTTAGCATATCCCTTCGTATTGTCATTATCATTTACTCCCTTCATTTCATAATAAGTATTGTGTAAGAGGAAAAAGTAAATATTATTTTAGCCTCTTTAATGTAATATTAATTATTTTTTCCATTTTTATACCTTAATTTTGTAATATTGTCATATTGGAATTATAGAATTCTTTAATTGTGCTCATATATATGGGATAGAAAGAGATTTTCTTTTTATATATAATATGAAAAAGGATCGAGTTGTTCCAAAGGTAACTATAGAGAAGTTACTCTTTATCTTCACCATTCATTTACTTTCAATTTAACGGTTTTATTGAGTAAATCTTCACGTTGGGGTTACACGCAAATGTAGCTAGCCTAGAGTCCATTGGTCATTAGTTTACAACTCCGAAACTCTTTGAACCTTAGATTAAAAGGAATTGAAGGATAATGAAGTTGTAGAGTTTCTTGGTAACTACAACTTTGGTTCCTTTGCATTGATGACCATGAAAAAGGGGAAAGAAAGAGTCACTATTCTCTTGTTAAATGAAGGAATACACCAAAGTCTTTTTTTTTTTTTCTGTTGGTGTTACCATTACATTGTTTTGCATGCAATAATTTATTTTTCATATCTCTGATGTTGAGGTTTATTCTACGTCGTAAGGGTGCAATGATATATTGATGTTTAGGGTTATGCTTTATTGTTGTAAAGAATTGTGTTTGAAGCGAGCAATTTGATATTATAATGATTTATTATTGTTGTTACTAATATTATATATTTATTTGCATTGCAAGTGCAGAGACTGTCACACAAGTTAATGGGACTGCAGTTGCACAACCAATAGAGAGTCCAAGTGCTCATGACTTGCAAATATATGGGATTGTTGTGACTATTTTGTTATGCTTTATTGTATTTGGAGGAGTGAAGATGATAAATCGGGTTGCACCTGCTTTTCTGATACCTGTTTTATTTTCAGTCGTCTGCATATTTTTGGGAATTTTTTTGGCAAGGAAGGATCATCCTACAGGTTTGTTTTTTGCTATCTCCCCTTATCCCAATTTGCTCTGTTTATGGAAGAGCCATAAATTAGCTTCATCCTAGATTTAGCTTAGATGTAGACTGTTTTGTGTAGACACTTTCTCAATTTGGTAACACTAGGGTAAGACTGTTGTATCTCCTTTGCTCATAAGCTGTTATCAAAAGTACGAAATTAAAGGAACATAAGGAACACTGACTATATTTCGCAGGCATAACTAAATATTCCAGAATAAGTACTTGAAACACTTGTAATTTCAGTTTAATGTATCTAGAAACATTTTATCTAAATCTAAGTCTAAAAGGCAAGACTAATTTTGAGTGAATATACTCGAGTGCCAAATACACACATAGTTAAATTATATATACATTTAGATCTATATTTTTTTTTTTATCAAAAGTAGAGTATGCAAAAGCAACACATGATCCCAACTACGTACACATAGATAATTAATAATTAATACAGTATACAGGTTACAAAATATAATAATTAAAATATCTTAATTTCCTAAGGTACACAAAACGAATGCTAATTATAAAGTTTTAAATAATTTATAATTACAACATACTCAACCCATGGTTCACATTTTACTGTGTGTTTTAGTTATTTTATTTCAGACAAATTATTCTTGTTGGCCAGATTTGTGAAAGAGCTTTTTGTTAAAAATATTTATTCAAATTTAAGTGTTACCAAACACACTCTTCGAAGCTAAATGATTTTTTATTTTTTATTGATAGAGAAGCTACTGTGTTCAGTCCCTTATTTCGTTAAATTATTCTACTCATTTTCTGTCAATGCTGGTGGGGGACTTTGAACCCTTTGTTCTCTGTTTGCAGTACTTAATTAGGTTTCTAATTTACTCTCAAATAATCAGCCTTTTCGTGTTAAATATAGGGATATGCATGGCTATTGTTTGATTTTGTGAACCTGAAGAACCCTAAACAATCCAACTTCTTAAAACAGGTTTTGTTTGTGTGGCCGATAAAGAATGGTGACTTGATGGTGTTTGTTTAAAGTCTTTGTTTTTTTTTTCTTCTGATTATATGTTTGTGTGTATAATTTTTTAAATGATTATTTAAATTTTCTTATGTGACCCAGTGACCTGACCTGGACAAACCAAACCTAATTAGGTTGGTTAAGCATAGAAAATTCACAGAAAAATGATCTGAATTCATTTGGTTTGGACCAAAATTTTTCCCAAACTTGATCCGATCCAAGCTTAGAAAATGTATTTGGAAGTGCAGATCTGGACAAAATAACGTTCTTTGTTTGGAAAGCAATATTAGCTAAGAATAGGGTTATGTTTTTTTTCTTTGAGGCGAATAAACAATTCAGAAAAGATGGAAACATTAATGAGCAGAACAGAAGAGAACCAAATTTAGGCAATAATTAGGGAAACATCACACTTTAGGATTGCTAAGTTGCAGTTTTGTTGGCCTGCCATTGATATTACTCTATGTTGTGGACGTTGAGGGTTTCCTGTTGTTTTTTCATTCTTCCATCGTTTTATTTTTCAGATTTATTTTTACTGATTTAGTTCATTTCATTTTTTCCCCTTTTATCTTATTTAATCCAGAGGGAATTTCTGGGCTGAGTTCAGAGACATTTAGAGAAAATTGGAGTTCAGATTATCAGAAGACTAATGATGCTGGAATTCCACAAACTGATGGCTCGGTAACCTGGGATTTCAAGTAAGATTTTGTAGCCTTTTTTCATTTTTATATCCCTATACCCCTCTATTCTTCCATTTAAACTTTCACTTTGACGTAAATATTGTGGGCTTTGGGAGCATAAATAATTCGGCAGCAAAGTTTTTTAACTTTTGACAATTGACCAAGTTCTACATGGTGAATCGGACCAATCATCATAACAATGAGTTTGATTAGACTGAATACCATGTTTATGTTCCCCCTCAATTTTTTATTTTGTTTTTGTTTCATGTAAACTCTACCTCTTAAAGAAAATTTCATTAACCTTTTATGCGAACATCTCTCACTTTTGGTGGTGGAGTTTTTTTTAAGTGATTTATTTTGTCTTTTAACTAGTTTGTTGAATTCCATAGTTAGGGCAACCTAGTGCACAAGGTTCCCAAGTCAAGTCAGGGAGTTATACTTATATAGCTTCAACTCCAAGAGATGATGTTTCTAGGATTCAACCTATGATTTCCAGACCCAGTATTGAATTTTATGCCGAGTTGATAATGGTGTTAGACATTTAAAATTATTTATTATTGTTTACCTTTCATAAATGTAGTTAAAAGTTGCTTAATTACAATTATAAGATCACTTGAGAGAAATGTTTTAGGGTGAAAAATAGTGTGAATTATGAGAGAGAGTACCAAAAGAGATTGACCCTCAGCCCAAACCCTAAACCTAGGCACATACATCAGAAAAATTGAGATTTAAACATATCTTAATACTCTCCCTCAAGCTGGAGCATATAGATTATATATATACCAAGCTCGGAACATATAAATGAAATCTTAGGTCCTCTTACGGATTTAGTTAAAATGTCTACAAGTTGCTCAGTAGAGCTCACAAACTCAATAATGAGTTCCTTGAACAATAACTTCTCTCTGACAAAATGATAGTCGATTTCAACATGTTTTGTTCTCTTATGAAACATTGGATTGGAGACAACATGAAGAGCTTCCTGATTATCACACTACAACTTATAACAAAATTTTACTTCTCAATGGAGTTGTTTAATTCACACAAGCTCACATGTAGCAAGGACTAGAGATCTATATTCAACTTCTGCACTAGATTGAGCAACCACACTTTATTTCTTGCTCTTCCAAGAAATAATATTCCCTCCAATAAATACATAATACCCAGTTATAGATCTTCTACATTGGGACAACCAACCCAATCTGCGTGACAATCCTAAGATTTGACTCTTGCCTTTTGTCTTCATACAAAAATCCTTGTCCTGGATTTCTTATTATATATCTGAGAATGCGAATCAAGGCATTCTAGTGATTAACATTAGGAGTTTGCATGAATTGACTAACCACTCCAATTGTATAAGAGAAATCCAGTCCGGTAATAGTGAGATTGGTGAGTTTTCCCACCAATCTCTATGGATATGAAAAAATTTTCACCTTTGTCTCCCATTAATTTCTGATTAGGATGCATTTGACTGTCAATGAGCTTGCAATTTAACAAATCTATCTCCTTCAAAATATCAATTGCATATTTCCTTTGTGAGATGATAACACCTTTCTTTGACTGAGTCACTTCAATACTTAGAAAATATTTCAAATAACCAAGATCTTTGGTCTAAAAGTGACCAAACAAATGTTCCTTCAATTGATTAATCTTAGTGGAATCGTTATTTGAAATAACAATATTATCAACATAAACCGTAAGATAAACAATTTTCCCTGAAGAAGTATGATAATAAAACACAAAATGGTCTGCCTCACTCCTTTTCAAGCCAAAAATCTGCACAATGGGACTGAATTGGCCAAACCAAGTTCGGGGTATAGTTTAATGTTTATACAGCCTACTTTTATTGGCATATAGCTTAACTTTTTAGAAAATGTATAAATGTTATATGGCGTATTGCTTAGCTCTTGAACTGCGATGTGGCTTCCTTTTGTTTGCCAGCAATGCTAAATGGTATAGCAGAATTTGATTGTCCACTATCCGCTATTGACAACACTGAGTACAATGATATGTTTTTAGATAATGTTTTTGCAACATGGAAACTCAAGGGTTTACCATTTGCATACTAGGGCTTTGTGATTCACCTAAAATCTCAAGCTCGGAAACCTAGGTGACAGAGTTGGACTGTCCGTATAATAAAACAATTCACAATTAAAGCATGTCCCTTAGGGACCAATTTGTTGAAAAATTTGCTAGTTGGTGATATTTCATATTTTTTAATTCTGATTTTCTTTTTCCCCCAGTTCACTGGTGGGCCTCTTTTTCCCTGCTGTGACGGGAATAATGGCAGGTTCTAATCGATCATCTTCTCTGAAAGATACTCAGCGATCAATTCCTGTTGGAACTTTAGCTGCAACTCTTGTAACTACTCTTCTGTATCTTGTTTCTTTGGTGTTGTTTGGGTCCGTTGCCAGCAGACAGAAGCTTTTAACCGACAGGTAATTTTTGGTTAAGAATTTTTTTCATATTGGTTTTCTTGATTTAAAAAGGAATTTCTTGTAGTGCACATTTATGTACGAGTTTATTTTCTTATTTATTGTAATTAGGATTAACACCCCTGATTTCCCTCTTACTTATTATGTACAGAGTTGTAGCCACAAGTTATTAGGTTACCATTCATTTTCATGTCCATATATACCTTGTACTCAATGATGTAAATTATCATAAAATAGTAATATCGTTCAAGTTCTCTTTTTTCAAGTGAATTTATTGAAGAACCTGAGAAAAAATGAATTGGAAAATCAGGTTTCCCCATAACAACAGAAAAGGATAATAAAAACAAGATACAAGGATTAGTTCAACCGATGTCTGTCTGAATGCGCACCAAATAAATTCCTTTTTAGCTCTTTACCTTTTTGTTTGTAGTTTAGAAGTATTTTCTGTTAGGTAGTCCATGTTCTGTCCATGCAATTATGTATCTGATTTTGGTTTGAAGTTGAACATTCACTGTTTTCTTTTTCTTTGGGAGTATGGTGTGGATTAATTAGGAATATTAGGATCTTATGATTGAAAATAAATTACGGAGGTATGGATAAATTAGGAATGTTCTATCTGTCCTTGTAATTTTTTATTCTGGTAGAATTTCTGTTCACTGGCTTCAAGTCTGATTTTGAGCTTTTATGCAGGCTACTCACAGCTACAATTGCCTGGCCTTTTCCTTCATTAATTAAAATTGGAATTATTCTTTCAACTATGGGTGCTGCTCTTCAGAGCCTGACTGGTGCCCCGCGTTTGCTTGCAGCAATAGCCAATGATGATATTTTACCTATTCTGAACTACTTTAAAGTTGCAGATGGCAGTGAACCCCATGTTGCTACCTTGTTTACTGCTTTCTTATGTGTTGGATGTGTTATTATTGGGAATCTGGATCTTATCACTCCAACTGTGACCATGTTTTTCCTTCTATGTTACACTGGTGTCAACTTATCCTGCTTCCTTCTCGATCTTCTAGATGCCCCTAGTTGGCGTCCTCGGTGGAAATTTCACCATTGGAGTATGTCCCTTGTGGGAGCATTACTTTGCATAGGTATGCTTTCTCCCTTTGTTTTTTTGTTCCCGATTAGTTTACTCAATTGATTCTTTATCTCATTATATTCAGATTGTGAAAAATCTTTCTGATTTAGACTTGGCTTATTCTACTATATGGTATGTAAATGGTACAACTAGGATGATTGAAATTCCTTTATGTAAACATAATACTTAAGACAAAAAAAATGATAAAGTGGCTTAAGGGATTGAATTATCTCTTAGCTGATCCATTTAGTTATAGGATAAAGTACATATGATTACAAAGAGTGTAGAGACTAAAAGCTACACCTAGGTGCAAGTTAATCATTGGAGCCAACAAATATTGTGCAAATTTTCTTATTCACCAACTTCTGTCGAACAAAACAATAGTCAATATTTTTGTTTAGTTGTCTCTTGAGAAATGTCATTGTCATATACTTTGCTTCGACCCTTGATCAAGCAAATACATTTTATTCCTTAGTTTTACATGAAACGATACTGCCTCTAATGAAATCATAATACCCAATGGTGGAGTGTCTATCTAAAGGAGATTCTGCCCAACCAACATCACAATATCCTGTCATGTGAGTATGATATAAAAATCCTTGTCTTTGAGCCTTCTTGAGATATCTAAGAATGCGACTAATATAATTCCAGTGATTAGCACGGAAGCCTGCATAAACTTACTAATTACTCCAACAACAAAAGACAATAATAGTGAGATAGATAAGTTTTCCATTAGTTGTCTATATCTTTAAGGGCTTGAGAAAACTTCACTCTGCTCTCCAATAAACTTTTCCTTTGATTGATTGAGTCACTACAATGCCTAGAAAGTATTTGAGGCAACCAAGATCTTTGGTTTGAAAGTGATTGCATACATGCTTCTTTAGCTGTGAAAGGCAATCATCTTCCTACTTACTAATGTAACATAAATTTTCTCCAATTGAAGGTTAAAAACAATGAATATAAATTCTCTCAAAGAAAGACTTAAGCATAATGTTTATTTACATAATAACTCTTGGGCTGGTGCTTCTTTTATAATCCCAAGACTGCAAACAATTGCATTTTAATTATAATCGTATGTAGACTGTACAAAATGGTTGACCATGCTCGCAGAAAGAGATATTTGGTTGCCAGGTAATGCACTTTGCGACAGGTGGGCAATGTTTACTGAGGTTCACTTGAGGCTTATGTAAAGCCTGACACTTGGATCCATAGGTGTTTCTGCAGGTCTACAACTTTTAGCAGACAGCACCAGAACAAGATTAGGCAACCTCAATGCCAGCAAAATACGAATTTACCAAATCTCTAATTTGAAAATAATAGGATAATTGCTTATTTATTATGTAGTTGATGTAGTGGCCATTGTGAAGAGAGCAATACACGCACAATCTTGAAATAGTCCATTTTTTTCACATATTCTACAATTTAACGTTGGGGTGAGTTTGAAGAATGAAGTGTTGAGAATCTACAAGTATAGTTTGCTATATTATTCATTAGGTGCCTACTACAGTAGTACTGGTGCAACAAGAGTGTTCATCTTGAAACTTGATTTTGTGGTGATCATTACTTTTTTCCTATACAGTGATCATGTTCCTAATCTCTTGGTCATTCACGGTGGTGTCTTTGGCCCTTGCAAGCCTCATATATAAGTACGTAAGCATTAAAGGAAAGGCTGGAGATTGGGGAGATGGTTTCAAAAGTGCCTATTTCCAACTAGCACTTCGCAGCCTTCGGTCCCTAGGAGGTATGTATCATTCAAATTTAATCATGTGCTCTCTTTAAGTAGATAATACAATATGAAATTAAATAACATTGTTGAATTTGGCAGCTATGTATGATTGAATGGTCAATAACTCTAGATATACATGTTTGTTCTCTTTTCAAAAGTTCCCAATCCCAAACAGACATAACTATTCGTTCTGATGTCTGTATCCTGTTAGCCTGGAAAAGTTATTACTATTAGTGGTTGAGACTATCTCGTCTTGCACTCGGTTACTAATTCAGCCTGATCCCCTGAATTTCGGTTTGAATGATTTCAAACTTAATTACAAGAATTTAGACCGAGTTTTCACAAAGTTTCTGTTTTATTTTATATATTGAATTGTATTGTATAGAAATGTACTTAATATTGATGACTAGACTTGAAAATTTACGTGAATATTATTTTCTTTTTTAAGAAAAAAATCTTCCCATTAAAAGACTATTTAGTTTTGGGAGTTTAAAACTTTTTGAACTCCTGATCTCTGAACTATTCATGATGTAATCTGAATTTGTCATGGGATTATGGTAGAAAAAATGGCGGGTTTAAATTTCTCTTGATTCTTTTGTTGGGGTTTTCTGTACAGGATGTGAATAAATTCTATTTTACAGAAGTAGTCTTCGTTTGCTTTTGAGATTAATCTTAGTTGGAACCTTTTTATTATTGAAAACAGTTGTACAATTAATGTTTCTCATCATATGTGTAGTCAACCCCAAGGGAAGAGAAAAGAGAGATGAACATTTAGAAGTATTTTTAATCAATAAATATTATAGAAATTGCAATATAATGTTCAACAGAAATTCTTGTCATAATTTGGCCTGAAATAAATATTCGTTTTAATGTTTTCCTCCAACCCCTTTATTCATTACAATTTGCTTGATTATAAATTTCAATCATAGCACACTTCTAAGTTAAAACTTGAATGACTGTTACTTTCTCTAATAAAATATTGCATCTATGTCTCGTGGTCTAATTTATAATCTACAGTGTTTATAATATCATTACCATTCAGAGTAAGAATATAATAGATCATATGATAAAATTTAAAATTGTGAGCGGTCTTCTGTTTAAAAGTATATATTTTGAATACAATAGAAAGAGATTTATAGCAATATGTTGCGCATTTTTATCCGTCTATCTATTTGATACTGTAAATTTAGGTTCCCCCAGTAACTGATTTCCATTTATTTTTGTAGCAAACAGCCAAGTGCACCCAAAGAATTGGTATCCAATTCCACTAATATTTTGCCGACCCTGGGGCAAACTGCCAGAAAATGTTCCCTGTCATCCCAAACTTGCAGATTTCGCTAATTGCATGAAGAAGAAAGGTCGAGGAATGTCCATATTTGTCTCTATACTAGATGGTGATTACCATGAATGTGCTGAAGATGCCAAATCTGCTTGTAAACAACTTAACACCTACATTAATTACAAAAATTGTGAAGGTGTGGCTGAGATTGTTGTAGCCCCTAACATGTCTGAAGGCTTCCGTGCGATTGTTCAGACAATGGGCCTTGGCAATCTCAAGCCAAACATTGTGGTAATGCGTTACCCAGAAATTTGGCGTAGGGAAAACTTGACAGAAATCCCTGCCACCTTTGTAGGGATAATCAGTGATTGCATTGTTGCAAACAAAGCTGTGGTTATCGTTAAGGGTCTTGATGAATGGCCGAATGAGTACCAGAGGCAGTATGGTACAATTGATTTGTATTGGATTGTAAGAGATGGTGGTCTCATGTTGCTGCTCTCTCAGCTTCTTCTTACCAAAGCGAGCTTTGAGAATTGCAAGATTCAGGTCTTTTGTATTGCAGAAGACGAAGGAGATGCAGAGGGGCTTAAAGCAGATGTAAAAAAATTCCTTTATGATCTTCGGATGCAAGCGGAAGTCTTTGTCATAACAATAAAATGGGATGCACAGATGGATGGTGGTGGCGGGTCTCCACAAGACGAGTCAACGGAAGCATTTACTAGTGCTCAGCTGAGAATTGATGATTACTTAACCGAAATGAAGCAGAGAGCAGAGAGAGAAGGTAATCCTCTAATGGCAGATGGTAAGCCTGTGGTTGTGAACGAGAAGCAGGTTGAGAAGTTTCTTTACACAACACTTAAGCTCAATTCAATAATTTTGAGATATTCAAGAATGGCCGCTGTTGTGTTGGTAAGTCTGCCTCCACCTCCAGTGAGTCACCCAGCATACTTCTATATGGAATACATGGATTTGTTGCTGGAGAATGTACCTAGGATTTTGATTGTAAGAGGTTATCGTAGAGACGTTGTAACTCTATTCACGTAGTTTGTGTGAATTCTAGGACACTAATCACATTACTCCCTCACTGTTTATATTTTGTAGCTTACATGCAAGTGTCATTCTTTGTACCAATTTTCTTGCTCAAGAGGGTCTTTTGTATTCACCAGTTTTCTAGGAAATATGAAATCATTTTCAATGTATAACTTCGTTGATAATTAATGTTGTATCCGATGACAATTAATTATTTACTATTCTCGTTTCCAAAGTCAGTGACATAAAAAAACGTACAAAAAGTTTCGAAAACCCCACACCGCAATTTTTTAGTCCGTGTATTGTTTCATAAATTTATTTCCATTGCCTTGGGGTCTGAATTTGTTTATTAAACTTTGACTGGTGGGTCCCACCGATTTCAAACGAAATCAGACTTGTAACTGAAGTTCCTTTTTCACTTCAGTTTTATAATAATAAAAAAAATAATATTATCATTCTTGTGTGTTTCACGAATTTGGTAATCTGAAAAAATAAGTTCAAATTTCTCTTAATAAGTTTGGTTGGGATTTGGTAAGATAGGAGATTTCAATAGGGTGCTAATTTCATCTATTAATATAAAATTAAATCATGATCTACATATACTTAAAAAATTTCATCTATTAATAAAAAATTAATAACATCATTTGTAATATATTATAATTAATAAAACGGTCATTACATTTTGGCTCGTCTCAATTTTAATTGGGACGGATTGACCCACCCTAATAAAATGGATTACATAATCAAGTCTGTTATTTTTTTTATGTATTTTTTAAAATGCACTGTTAATTATATAAATAATTTTATATTTTTATTCATTAATTAATAATTTTATTAGATAAATTAAAAAATACAATACTAAATTATAATTAATAATTTAAGTTTATAATTTAAATTATAATATTATAATATATTTAAATAATTTAAAATATAATATAAAAATATATAATACTTTTAATTATAAATTTTTATTTTTATTTTAATATATAAATATTTTTTAAGAGTGGGTCAACGGATTAATATGTTTTACTGTGTTTTTATTCTTTTACTTTGTTTTTAATCCATTGAATTAACAAATAAGACAGGACAAAATAAAACAAGTTAATAAGGTCAAAATTAACAACCCGTCCCTTAATTTGAGACCCAAGAGACTTTTTTTTGTTTTATCATTCTATTATCTATTCTTCTATTTTTTTTTATTTTTTTTTTAGTTTTATTGTTTTCTTTTGCTACAATCAGAGAGCCCGACCATTTCCTAATTAGAGTCTTTCGATTTCCCTACAAAATAAAGATGTGGGTATGGGTATACATTAGTGGTAAAAGTGGACCAATTTTTCAATTTGGTGTAATTTGTTTTATTGTTCTTAAAATAGGTAATTTATAAAAAATTATGAATATGGATAAGTCATGTTTTAAAATACGACTTCGTATTGAAGAAATCTGTATTTTAAAAGACAATTTAACTTCTTTTTTTTTCAAATAGAAGTTGTACTTACTTATGTCATTTCTTCGTATCAAAATTTTTTTTAAGTCATGCTTTCATACACAACTTTATTTTATTTATATTGAAGTTACCAATTTAATTGATTTTTTTAATATTAAAGTCATCAATTGATTGATAATTTTAGTTATTTTTTTTAGTAAAGTCATCAATTTATTTTTGATTTAAGTTCATATATTTTTAAATTAATTTTTTTATTCTTACTTGTTAAAAATTTGATTTAAATATTTATTAAATTAATTAATTAATTAATATTTAGATGTCAATAGTATTTAATAATTTAAATATATTAAATTGTTAAAAAAAATATGTTAAATAAAATAAACATATACTCATAAAAAAATACAACATATATTACAAACTTAAACAAGTAAAAAGTATACAGTAAAAAAATTAATGATGAAAACTTGTTCTGTAATGTGATTTTTTAATATTGCGTCTTAATTTTTGTCTTTAGATATGCATTTGTTGTAATGATAGAAAGTCTTTTTTTCTATTGTTTATTATTATTATTATTATTATTATTATTATTATTTTCATCATTGTATGATATTTGTGTAGATAAAGTGGGACTATAATAATCCATGGGAGGCAGTGACGAACCCATATGTATACGCAGAAGTACTCTTTGATTTTGTTAAAATTATTTCTAAGTATTTGAAATTTTTTTATTTTGCCCCCTTAATCTTATATATTTGAATTCATTGGTTGTTGCTATATGATAGACCTGTAGTTGAGAATTTATAAATACATCACTTGACTTGAAAAGTAAATTGTCTCGAATGACTTAGGGCCTTAGATCTACCACGGATGGGAGGTGTTTGCTTATATATTGATGGTGATAACATTGAAATGGTGACAAACATATGGTTAATCGTGTTGTGTTTGATGTTCTTGTGGTGCATTATACTGAACAAACAAAATATATGTAAAACTAGTATCAATAAAAATATTATGATATATTTAATACGTTATACTTACTTTATCATATATATGTATCATGTGACTACTTACGAGAAATATATAGTATATTATGTCGTAAATATTATTATATGTATTGTGTATTTTCATATAAATGACCGTTTTCATAAAATTCAGTTTCTTAAATTATGTGATTATTACGATCGTTTCACATTGTAATCCAATTATGATGGTAAATATCTATAGATTCTTCCTCCTATTTTTTTATGCACTTGATCTAAATTCATTGGAACTTGAGGAATATGTTGAAAAGTCAAATTGTTTTATAACTCGATTAACATGATAATATTAATGGTTGCAAAACAAATAAGTAGTGCAATAGCATGAATTATAGGTAAAATTTCAATATTTATTAACCGTTTAAGAAATGTTTATGATAAGGAGTCTAGAGAAATTACAAAAAAAAAAAGTTAATAATATTGGATGGAGTAACAATTTTTTTTTAATAAATCTTGTAAAATATCTCATTTTGTTATATATGATCAAATGTGATACGTAATATGTGTAAGTCGTGCATGCATAGCATATAAGATGAAACGACCTAAACTAATAGCTAAATTGAATACTATAAGGTCTGAACTTCGTCAAACAAATTTTTTATTAGATAAAATTTAGTGGGAAAAATAGACTGAAGTGGATCATGAGGAGAAGAGATATGACCACATGACATGCAATGATGTGTATTGTTCAAAATTATGGTCAAAAAAGTTGTGAGTTTAATGTCTAAGGGTATCAAATTCTCAACGTCATGGATGTCATGTAATTTATATTATCAAATTAAATGACTTGTGTGGTATGATTGTAGAGAGTTTCATTGTCTCCGACTTGCTTCCTCTCATATTAATGTTGTATATTCGTATTGTCATTTATACAATGACTCGTATGTTGATCCACTTAATAAGTTATAAACTATTTACAAGATTTTGAAGTGCGGTTTCATCATGTTAGGAAAGAAGACTACTGGTCTCCTTATTTAGGTTCAAAATTTATTCTTGATCAAAATCTATATTGACAACAATTAAAAAAACCAACAACAAATCACATTCACAATTATATGGATGAACCTAATTTAAATAAATAAATAAATAATGTAGAAATGAATGTCATCATTGTAATAATTGTTCATTTCGATAATAAAATATAATTTTTTTTATATTTTTCTCATTAATATATTAATATTTTTTAACAATTTAATATATTTAAATTATTTAATATTATTAATGTCTAAATAATAATCAATTATCTATTTTATTAATTTTATAACTATTAAATGAAACTTTTAATAATTAAAAATAAAAAATTAATTTAAAAATATATAAACTAAAGTCATGAAGCAAATTCACGTAACATCCAAGTATTTCCCAAAAATATTTCATTAATATAATAAAATATTTTGTCATTAACTTTAATAAAATGGTATTATGAGTTATTTTAAGACTTGATAATTTTTAAAGATATTAATAAATAATATATATATATATATATATATTATGGAATTTTTAATAGAGTGAAATAGATAAATTTAGAATTGAGTTTAAAATGAAATAATAATAATAATAAGAGTAATATCATTAAGCAAAATTAGTAATATAATTTCCCATTGATGAAAGGATTTAATTGGTAAGTGAAAAAGTAAGTGAGGGTAATTTTGGAAAGGAGGTTAAATTTAAAGAAGAGAAAAACCAATTTTCTTTCTCACTTACGGAAGCCATTTTGGGAGCATGAGAGGAAGAAGAGAAGTTTGATTTTGCTTGTCCACACCATCTTGGTTCATCCTTTTTGCAATTAAGAGTAAGATCCATGAAATTAAAGCATTGGATTTCAATATTATCTCCTAAAATCTTCTTAATCTCAAACATATGGTCATTTTGATGCTTATAGGAGACAAACTTTTCTTGAACCAAGGATCTCCATTTTCTTGTTTGAAAGCTTCATTTGAGGTAAGGAGAGTCTTCTTGTCATCAACCCTAGGCTAAACCATCATTTATCTCACTTTTACATTAATTGGAACCAAATTAAAATGTTTTATAAAAATTTCGTATGGCTATTCTAGTATATTTAGATACTCTACAATGCTCCTTTCATATTTTAGAGTTTAGAAATGGATTCCTTGGATATTAAAACCTAGAGTTAGCCATAAAAATCACTTAAATTGGATTTTTCTAGAGGAAGATGATGAAATATGTGTTGAGAGATGTTATTGGACAAGAATCTGCATGTGAATAGAATCTTTGGGAAATTATGTAAAAATATTTACTTGGTATTTAATTCTGAAATTTTGATTACATGTTCCTTTATATGTCTAGTTTGTGTGTGATATTTGTCAAAATTTTCTGACCAGTTGATATTCGATGAAAAATCTTGGAAGTAAATATGTTTTGAGTTGGGTGAAACAGAATTGTTATGTTCGCTTAGCAACTTTGAAAAATCATAGAAAATCGATATTGAAGTTTTTTTGAGATGAAATTTTTATCATAGTTGTGATTGTAGGTATATGTTAAGTATATTTATTTTCATAATTTTATGACCTTTA